CGTACACAGTGATCCAACTAGGTATCAAAATATCATGCAAAAATTGAAAAAAAATGTTGCCAAGTTCTTCTTTAATTAGCTAAAGCTAAAAACGAGTGCTTTGAAGGTCTAAAATGTACAAGTCTAGTGCTACAAAAAAGTATAACCGAGATAAAAAATGAAAGAAAAAAGAAATGGGACACTGCGAAGTAGTCCTATTGATGCAACTTATTATTGCATTCTGGATCTTTAATTTACACTATTCTTCACAAAATCAGAACTATAGAAGAAAGACCATATTTTTCCCATCCTATGGTTTTTAAGATGTGGTCTGTCTTTTTTCACTTTTTGGAATTTATTTACAATAATTTTTTTCAATGTTTTTATAATTTTTTAAAATAGTTTTTGTAAAATAATTTCAAATGTTCATCAATCATCTTTTTTCTCCTTTCTCCTTCTGCATGTCCGCAGTTTCTTTTTTTCTTGCCTCCCTCGCACGTCCATTTATTGCACTGCTTTTGTACGAATTTTTACAAGTCGCCATCTTTGCGCCATTATAAGACAGTATAGGATCACTCTATCATTGTATCGATGTAGCCCTCTCTCAGTTCTTGTTTTGTTTTGATTACTTGTAATTGCAGCCCAGGGAGTAAGGAATAGAAGGGAGATAGATTTAACTGACGCGGTTCGCCCTACCATATGGTTATACATGCTTTGCAGACGGTACTTCATTTGTATAAGAAATATTTGTCTGATGTACAATTACCGCGTATACAATAACCTATTCTGAATATTTCATCTACAAATGGAGTACCCGTCTGCAAAGCATGTAAAATCATATGGTGGGGGAACCGCGTCAGTTTTATCTCCCTTCTATTCCTTACTCCCTGTTGCAGCCTCAGTGCTGAACATTCTGTCTACTTGCATGAGCTAGGTCACCACTTCTAGCACTTCAAGTTAGTTTCTTATTGAAGCTAGAGAGCAAAAGCTTGTATTTTCAAGTGAAATATGGGACTGTGTACACTGCACAATTGCTGTGTTTTATGTTCATCTTGAGGACGTACAACAGTTGACCTACAAGCATTCATAAACTGCAGTCTTAAATAATAGGATTTATTACAAACCAGCTAGTTAACAAATGTCTGTATCTCCTGTTTTTTTTGCTCTTAATTGATTGGCTGGCTTGCCGCGTCTAATTGTTGCGTTGTATTCCTGAATTGCGCATTGCCCCGTTTAAACTGTCAACTAGAGTTGCAGCTGCTACTGCACTCAACCACTAGACATTTTATAATATCATTATATAAAACAAAGAGTTTATAGCTTTATTGTTCAACTGGGGGCTTAAATAATGGCTGTTTCCAAACAAGAACTGAAAAAAACCGTACTTCAGAAAATTCATAAATCTTGATAACCAAGAATGCATGTTTGAAAGTTAATAAAATAAATTTTTTTTCACTTTTACAAATAAAAAATTATAAAGATAAATGTTTCAATGGCGCCTGAAAAGAAATTGTTTAGAGTTAAGTCCGCTCTAATAATAATTTTTTGCAGATTAATTGTAAGGAAAATATGATGTCCCCGTCCATATATCTTTGCAACCTACTGGCCTAACTCTATATTTGTGCATGGAGAATTCAAATAGTTTGACATATCAAAGATCTATGCCATAAGGTTGCAAAAATATGAAGAATTTTTACAGTCTCAATACAGCTGCATTCTGACGTCACAAGTGACAATTCAGTTTTTGTGTCCGACAAAATTATTAGTAATAGTGATAATTTTAGAACAAAGTGCTTATCTTACAGTAAAATAAGTGCAATTTTATGTGTTCTTTATTTTCTGTTTTTACACTTTTTTATCTAATCTTGGAAAACATGTCTGCAACTAACGTAAGAAAATTTTGTTTTCCTTGTTATATTTGACATTTGTGACGTCATGTATAATTGGTCTATTTCTCTGTTGCCACCTATTGTACTAGATTTTGGGGCAAGTAAAAATTTCCTTTGAAAAAAAGCTTACTTCTGTCATCTTCACAGTTGTCTAGAAGAAGAAATTACATAAGTAAGTTTTATCATTAAAATAATATTTAAATAATGGTTCAGTGCAACATGGGAGAAACTTAGAGGGACTGGTATGGCATGTTCTATTCTCAATAGTACTTTTTAAAACTAATTTTCTAATTAAGAATGAATGAGAAATACTTAATTTTCTACCTACAAATTAATTACTTTTAATTGTGGTTTCTCTATAAAAGACAATGAAAGAAAGAAATTGGAATCAACTTTTCTTAGAAAGAAAAACGCTGATATCTTCCTCAGCAACAAAGCTTAAAGTTATTTATCATATTCTTTACATTATTTATTTTCAATTTTCTTGTTTAAAAAATAATATATAAAAAAAACAATGCGACAAAATTTTACACTTTATATTAAAATGTTTGAAAAAGTCTGTATAGAGACGTACATTTTCTGGGAACTTTTATCAAAAGAGTGCCATCCTAGATTCACAACGGTATCATTTGAATGAATCTTTGACTCAGCAAAAAGGATAAAAAAAATCCTTTTGTTTCTTTCTGGAAATTGATTATGTCTTATAATGGCTTTTGAATCAAAGCGATTTTTTTGGATTTCATCCAGGTTTGGAACGCAATTTACCAAATTCCACATTTTTTAACGCAAAAACAAGAATAATAATATGATAAAAAAGATTAAAATTTACTGTTCTGAATCAGAATTAAGGGTTACTTGAAAAAGTTAGAAACTATCATGAATTGGGTTCATAAAAAGTTATTAAATAACCTGAGAAAAAGTATTCTTTTAAAGCCAAATGCTTAAGTGAACTAATTTTATTAATGCGTTTTAAAATTTGATATGTTTTAATGAGAGACAGTTTTGCGGCTTGCTACTGTAAGAAACTAGACAATGCATCTATTTTAATCATTTTCTGACAGCTCTACAACTTTGGTCTACCTTTCACCTTGAGGTTTATACGATACATTTCAAATTTACAAATATATTTATTTATATTACCCACAAAAAATTAGTCATTAAAGACGATTTTCGTCTCAAGTATCATTTTTTGTGACTAACCCTGTATATTCAATATAATTATCAAAAAAAACTTCAAAAATTTGTAAACCATTAAAAAATTCTTTTCATTTTAATGCAGTTATAGTGTCTACTGTTTGTACATTATAATTCAATTTTTATACATAATATTCTGAAATTACGGAAGACGACATTAATAGTTTCTGACGGAAATCTCTTATTTTGGATCACGTGTTAAGTAAGATTCTTTCGGAATATTTTCCAAACCAAATGTTTTCCAGGAAAATGTCGGAGGGCCGGGTTTGGTGCATTGCTGTCCTACGGCATCCAGAAGTCCTGTAGCCAAACCCTAAATAAATAAATGAATAAATGAATAAATGAATAAATGAATAAATGAATAAATGAATAAATGAATAAATGAATAAATGAATAAATGAATAAATGAATAAATGAATAATTGAATAACTGAACCTGTTCTAGTGTAAGATCTCCAAGATCTATAGAAAAATAAATAAACAGATCACACATCTCCATATGACTCGTTAAACCTTTAACCATAGATGAATAAATCTACAGAATATTCTAAGCCTTATTCTTTAATCAATTTACAATCCATTGGAGGCAATTGGAGGTATTGTTTGATCCATGTGGACAGAGAGGTGAAATAAACTCCAATAGGAGAACCTGGCATTATTCGACTAAAGATCAAACTGTTTTCGGTACTGTAGAGTATAAATGGGTCAAGTACATGGTTTGGCTTCCCCGCCCTTACTTCTATCAACAATTTCAAGTTTAAATTCTCCTTTTCATTAAATTTTCTTAATAAAACAACAAATATCGCAAATTTTCCATATAGGAAAAAATAGAAGGATTTCCTAAAAATTTCAAAATCGCCATTTTTTTCTTATTCACTTCAAATGTGACGCTTTGATGTTTATTCACTTCAAATGTGATGATTTGAAGTTTATTCAATTTCAAATGTGACGATTTGACGTTTATTCAACTTCAAATGTGACGCTTTGACGTTTATTCAATTTCAAATGTGACGCTTTGACGTTTATTTATATTTAACTTCAAATGTGATGCTTTGAAGTTTATTCAACTTCAAATGTAACGTTTTGACGTTTATTGCACAAACAATTAGAAACAGAGAAATCTTTGGAATTGAGTTTTTGACACAAGCTCTGAAATTCAAATAGTAATATCTTTGCAACTTATAGACGTATTTTAAACTATTAATTCTGTCAGATCAAATGATCTAAATTTGATATAAAAAGGAATGCTAGAAGATATATTTCTCTCGTTCCGGTCTATCGGAGAAGACATGAGTAAAAAATATTCACACAACCTCCTACCGGAGAAGAAAAAACATTCAACCTTCCCTTTAATTCTGATTATTTAGACTGTTAAACTGTTTGATTTTTTTCACCTGTATACTGTGAGGTTTTATCCACCCCCCCCCCATGAGATGCAGAAAATACTGCAATTGCTTCCCTATTTTGCAAATAAACGATATGTATTAATGATAAAGTGTGAATTTTTTTTAAACTAAGAAAAAAATTGAGTAACATTTTTAACAGAGAACTCCCAAGTTTTCATTGAAAACCCCAAGAAAAAAATTAAAAATTGTTTGAAAATGTTTAATGCACTTTTTGATATAAAACAAATATATTTGCATCATAAACAAACTGTGGAAAAAACTTTAGAAGGTGATGTTATAAGTACTTATATTACATCTAGTAATGATTTTATACATTTTTTACAAGAAATCTACTAAATTGAAAAGTGAAAAATTTCCAAGTTATCCNTATTTTTTACTCCGGTCTCCTCCGATAGACCGGAGCTAGATAAATATGCTGCTACTATCTTCCATGATTCATATGAAAGGTGTTTGCACCATCAGGTTACGAAGATAGGGAACAAAAAGTTTTACTTCCTTTATATTTACAGATATGAAGAATATATTCATCTTTTCCTTGAACTATTTCTCCTTCTCCTTCTGCATTCTCGAAAACACAACGTGATCCAATAAGATCTCCTAGACGCACAAAAAGCTTGTTTTCAGAACAATTTACAAAAAATCTGTTTTCCCTTTTTTTCCTGTTTTTAATAATCTTATTAAAATAAATTCTAGACTTTTGCGCTCTTTTTTATTAACAATTTGAGCTTTGAACGGTTGATTTTCAAGCCGCCTTTTTTTTTCTTCGAATACTCGATTCAATAAACAAAACTCTCAAATTGGTGGATTTCTCAATTTCTCAATTTCGCCAGAAACTTATTCCTGCAGGGGTAATGTTACTTGTCATAAAAAAGTTAAGGGCCTGATCAGTTCAGTTTTATCGTTTATTGAATACAGGGGGTATAACCTGAAACCTAAGCATTTCAGAAGTTGATTGAGACCTATAAGAGTTCTATCTGATGTTCCTGTCTCGAGAAAGTGATATAAAAATGTGTCAAAGGAATTGAGTCTTTGCAACAAACTCTGATTTTCTTATCTCAATATCTTTAGAACCCAATGTCGTAAACCTTTAATATTTCAAACTTATATTATTTGATCCAACAAAAGTCAAAGTTTGAAATGTCAAAGATTTGCGACGTTGGAATCCAAAGATATTGGGATTAGAAAATCAGAGTTTGTGACAAAAACTCAATTCCTTTATACGAAAGTCTGTGTAACATACATCCATATCACGTGATCAGAACTCCCACCAATGGCAGTGCAGTATACTGGTCATGTGATAGAGACGGAGACAAATGACAATAATACTGCACTGCCATTGGTGGGAACTCTGGTCATTTGATACCAACGTAAAAATAATATTATGAATTATATCAAATAAAAATGAAAAATTCAAATAATAATAGGAGCAAACCTAAGTTACTTTACAGTCCCTTTAAACGGTTGTTTATCTTTAACCCATTAGGTACCGGATTTTATTAATTTAAGCCGGGTCTGGAGACAGTTCAACCAAAGACGGTTCAACCACGGATCTTGAATTTGTGATTCAGGAATAGAAGTTCATGCCCTATAGAAGTATTTAAATCGAGGTTAGGTATAAGTTTAGCGACTTAGCTATTTTTTTCTGTACAAGTGGATCCACTCAACATTTAAACCAAGCTAAGAATATTCCCGTGGGTCTACCGAGTTCCCCAATCAAAATAAATTTCAGACAAATCGATCGTGCAGGATTCCTGATTGAACATACAAACAAACAGAGATTACTACTTTATGTATATATAGAAGCGCGCCAATACATCATCCCCTTTCTGAAAATACAAATTTTTTAACCTGGCTTTAATATTATTTTTTGTTGAACAGGAAGAAACTGTTGTGGGTTTTGAGGATTAGATCTTCCAATCTTAATCCATTCCTTATCTTCAATCTTCCATCCTTTAGAATAGAGAAATTAGAAAAACTAGGCTTGAAGAATGCTCCTTAAAAAAAAAAAACAATTTAAAAAGCTCTGATTGTAAAGGCCATTTTTATTCATTCTCAAATTTTGAGGGTTTTTCTATTTTAATTGGCGCATTTTCAAAAATAGTTACCGTAGCTATTTTTTCAGAGCTAAAAACCATCAATAGGGTCATGTAAGTTGTAATAAAAAATTTGGGCCCGATCGGTTCAGCCGTTTTGACATTATTTGGGTGAAAAACAAGTGGACTAACAGAGAGACTTTTTTACTATTCATATGTTTTTTTTATGATACCGCTTGGTACTTTTTTATGCTTTTTGTAGCTAGCAAACTTCTTGTTTCTAGCTTTAAAGAGAGTGACTGGTTAGGTATAGGCAAATAGATTATCAAGTACAATAGGGCAACAGAGAAATGGACCAATTATACATGACGTCACAAGTGTCAAATACAACAAGGAAGACAATATTCTCTCCCATTAGTTGACATGTTTTCCAAGATTAAATAAAAAAATGTAAAAACAGAAAATAAAGAACACAAAATTGCACTTATTTCACAGTAAGATAAACAAGCTTTATCATCACAAGTATTAGTAATAAAACTGTTGACACAAAATAATTGGTAATTTTATTCAGTCATCTGTTTCTACAAGATTTGATTCTCCCTCAGTTCAACTTGCATACCTGGCCAGTCACTCCCTGTATTTCAAAAGGAGTGTTTATGAAAATCCCGATTTTCGCACTAAAAAGTTGATTTGAAAAGTATTTTGGTCTATATTGATTTAATGTATCTCCATCTTGAAAAAAACTCTAAAGAACAATAAAATATAATATCTCAAGAATGACCTGAAACTAATCTGCCATGCTTATGAGTGTGTCCCAGGAAACCCCAGGGTTCAAGTTCTGCTGATCCTGATACCTTCAACCAATATTTATTGAAGGGAGTGTTCGCGAAAAATGAAAGGGGGTATGGGCTTATACGGCTAAAAATAAACGTTTTTTGATCGCTACTAATCTTACTTATAACGTTGATATTTCATAATATTTTTTTTATTTTTTATGATCTGATAGTTACTTTTGAACATTTATTCCTGTTTCGAGGATTTTTGATAATGAAGACGACATTTTCATTATTTTCCAGAAATGTTCGAAAATCCAGCGCCAGCGAAATATTATTTAAAAAAAAAACAAAATCAGAAATATTATGAAATATAAACTATATATGAATGCGTCGAAAAGTAATCGATGACTATTGGTTGTCATATCTGAATGATTTGTTTGGAATTAAATTGATCTGAAATTGTTGTGCTGTAAACCACATTGTGGAAGACGATGCCTGGCCGCCTTAAACAAGTTCCACAAGATTCAACGGAATGAGATAGAACGAATACGGGGCATTGTACTGACAAACATCTACACGTGTGATTTCGATATTGACTCTAGTTCTGAACCCTCTAGTAATAAGTTATAAGAAATATATATACTGGAAGTTATTTATGCGTTGTTATTTAGAGTCTGACTCACGTCCTCTATATAACATATTAATTTTTTGGTATTTTTTATTTATTTTGAATTTCTACCTGACATAATGAATCCCAGTATACTCTTGAGTTTGGAGGAATATGACCATGAACATGAAGAGAAAATACTCCTGCTATCTAAATTGCGTAATTTCAAGTGACAAACCCTATTTAAAATGGTTCCCTTGACAACTTTGTCTAATTAATCAATAAGCATGAATTAAACATCAACGTTCATGAATTTGAAAACTGATTGTCTTCAATTGTGATTCTCTACAAAAGTGACTTGCGCATTTCTACTGAAGGTAAACATACAAGAATTATTAGAATTAACCACTTTTAAATTCTAAAAATAAAAATTTGTTGTTTTTGGTATTTTTATTAATTTGAAATATTTTACCTTAGGGGTTGGTTCTCTTGAATAGGTAACAGTTACCCCACTCCAGTCTCCAATAGTTTTATCTATATTCTTAGAACTAAACAAACATATTTTTAGATATAAGTATAATTAAAGTATTATCTATATTCTTAGAACTAAACAAACATATTTTTAGATATAGTATAATTATAGTATTATCTATATTCTTAGCACTATACAAACATATTTTTAGATATAAGTATAATTATAGTATTATCTATATTCTTAGAACTATACAAACATATTTTTAGATATAGTATAATTATAGTATTATCTATATTCTTAGAACTATACAAACATATTTTTAGATATATTATTATCTATATTCTTAGAACTATACAAACATATTTTTTGTTATAGTATAATTATAGTATTATCTATATTCTTAGCACTATACAAACATATTTTAGATATAAGTATAATTAAAGTATTATCTATATTCTTAGCACTATACAAACATATTTTTAAATATAATTATAATTAAAGTATTATCTATATTCTTAGAACTAAACAAACATATTTTAGATATAAGTATAATTAAAGTATTATCTATATTCTTAGAACTATACAATTTACAAACATATTTTTAGTTATAAGTATAATTATAGTATTATCTATATTCTTAGAACTAAACAAACATATTTTTTAATATAAGTATAATTAAAGTATTATCTATATTCTTAGCACTATACAAACATATTTTAAATATAAGTATAATTATTATCTATATTCTTAGAACTAAACAAACATATTTTTTAATATAAGTATAATTAAAGTATTATCTATATTCTTAGCACTATACAAACATATTTTAAATATAAGTATAATTATAGTATTATCTATATTCTTAGAACTATACAAACATATTTTTAGATATAAGTATAATTATAGTATTATCTATATTCTTAGAACTAAACAAACATATTTTAAATATAAGTATAATTAAAGTATTATCTATAGTCTTAGAACTAAACAAACATATTTTAGATATAAGTATAATTATAGTATTATCTATATTCTTAGAACTAAACAAACATATTTTAGATATAAGTATAATTAAAGTATTATCTATATTCTTAGAACTATACAAACATATTTTTAGATATAAGTATAATTATAGTATTATCTATATTCTTAGAACTAAACAAACATATTTTAAATATAAGTATAATTAAAGTATTATCTATAGTCTTAGAACTAAACAAACATATTTTAGATATAAGTATAATTATAGTATTATCTATATTCTTAGAACTAAACAAACATATTTTAAATATAAGTATAATTAAAGTATTATCTATAGTCTTAGAACTAAACAAACATATTTTAGATATAAGTATAATTATAGTATTATCTATATTCTTAGAACTAAACAAACATATTTTAGATATAAGTATAATTAAAGTATTATCTATATTCTTAGCACTATACAAACATATTTTTAAATATAAGTATAATTAAAGTATTATCTATATTCTTAGAACTAAACAAACATATTTTAGATATAAGTATAATTAAAGTATTATCTATATTCTTAGAACTAAACAAACATATTTTTAAATATAAGTATAATTATAGTTTTATCTATATTTTTAGAACTATACAAACATATTTTTAGAAATAAGTATAATTATAGTTTTATCTATATTCTTAGCACTATACAAACTTATTTTTCCATTTAAGTATAATTAAGCTTGGGAATCCAGCTTTGCTAAGAAACTAGACTTTCATCCCATTCATTTTTAGCTTATAACTTCAGATACTTGATGCACTATTCTTATTCTAATCTAATTCTAATCACCATGTGTTTTTCTTGATGATTTAACTGATATGATAAACCTGTAGAACTATATGCTGAATAAGGGTGAAATATTTTCATGAAACACAAATCAAGTAGTTAATACAGTAGTTAATACTAGTAGTTAATACAGTAGTTAATACAGTAGTTAATACAGTAGTTAATACAGTAGTTAATACAGTAGTTAATACAGTAGTTAATACTACTGCAATTTTTTTAATTTAAGCAACATCTATTAAATCATTTTTCGGTAAAATCAAAACTGACTATAACAAACGGCTATTTATGGCCGAAAAACCGGTTATACAAGTGATTTTTTAATTTGTTCAAAATATGTCGATATGGTTATCAAAAGATCCGTCTTACAAAGCCTAATTCTACACAGCAAACGATTTGTAAAAATATTCAAAAACATGAAACATGTTTTCTCTAGTTTTTCAGCTTTTTCATCATTTATTTAACTTTATGCTGAACCCTACTCCTAATATTTACCTAATATAATGAACCTGTAGTACTATATGCTGAACCCTACTCCTTCCCCCAACCGGAAGTCCAACACCTTCCGGAAATTTTAACCCATCTGAATCCAAATAGATATAAATGACGAATGTCGAAAAAAAAATTAAATTTGAGTAATAACCAGAAAACTTTTTGTTTCATGACCGATCTTATTCCCGAAAATGGTCAGGAAACATTTTTAGAAGCACACCAATAAAAAATGCAAAAGTTCTAAGCATAATTTATGATCTAAAGAAAGCTAGAAGACTATAACTGAAAAGCATTCCTTTGTATTCTGTTTTATTAATTCAAATGAATTTCGAGATCCTTCTCTTAATAATGAAAGTTATAGGTTAGTGTTTTAATCTATCTATTTTCCTGCAGCAAGTGACCACATGAACAACGTCTGACTGGATTTAGAGCCTGGACAAGCTGAACCAGGAGACCGCAATCCTGCCTCTCCTACGGTTATAAGTCAGGGGAGGTTAGTTCGTAACCGGGATAATGACGCTTAATATCCAGGGATTAAAAGTCAGGGGAGGTTAGTTCGTAAACTGGAGAATGATGCTTAATATCCAGGGATTAAAAGTCAGGAGAAATTAGTTTGTAACCCGGAGAATGATGCTTAATGTCCAGGGATTAAAAGTCAGGGGAGGTTAGTTCAAAGTTGAGAATAGACGCCGATTTTATTCAGACTATTTTAGAAAATTTAAAGTGCTAATTTTAAATTGCTGATGGAATAAAATTGTTCAGATTACGATAATAATATATTTACATTTTTTATTGTTAAAAACTTCAAAAAGACGACTTTTAAATCCAAAGAAATATTCAAGGATATAAACACACTAGTGTTACTTAGTTTTTGAGTAAATTGTTGTTCAATCTTTTAACATCGAAAAATCTTAATACCAGGAAATGAGGAGCAAGGGGAGTAAAGTCTAAAAAGGGGAAATTACTGAGAAAGTGACAAAAACAAACCTAAACTCCCCCCGCAGTTCCAGAGGTTTGGTTCTCCAGGTTCAATATCTACAGGAGAATCACATCCAACCACCATCATATGATGTACAGTACTTTTCTCCGCATCAGGCTGGAAACCTACGGTACAAGAAATCAAATTAAAATCAGGTTTATATATGTACATTTTACCTGATCATTATTTTTTTTCAAAAAGCTAAGAATGAAATTTAGGGACAAATCAGGGACTTACGATAAGTTTTAGGGGCTTAATCTATGAAGTATATGAAGCCCTTTTCTGATATTGAGATTAAACCTAGAATTAGGTATTTATAGACGTACATACGTTGTGTAAAGTATTTTACACTTAACTGATAGTTAGATGTTTAGAGAGAGATTACATAGACTACTTAGTACAGCGACAGGACTTTACTTTAGAGGGTGTCCCACGAAACATGACAGATGCAAGACGAATTGGATGTCGTCTTCATGTCGTCAACCTACTTTCACATGTATGGTTCTTGAAACAATAACCACCTGCTAGTTTTGGATTTCCTAAATGTGGTCTGCCGTTTTTGTGCTGTCATTATCACTGGAGATATTAACAATTTCGTTTATTTTCAATTAAATTACTTAAATAAAACCAAAATTGTCGAAATATTAATAAAATTCTTCATATCTCTGTTCTATAAATGCTGTTATTGGATTGGACTTTACCTGTTATATAAAGGACTTTACCTGTTATATAAAGGACTTTATCTAACGAAACTTGAACTCCAGTACAAAGATAGGACTCGGAGTGAGGCAAGGACGGATTTACTCCAGGCATTAGAATCGGGAATTCTATCAAAAACAAATAATTTTTGCATTTCAAGAAAACACTGAATTTCATATCAAACCTAAGAGTAAAGGCCAAAGTAAAACAGAAAGAAAAGGAAAGAGATATTCAAGATTTTTCTTTAAAATTGAAAATTCAGAATTCTGGACAGAAAAACTTATTTTAAATTTTAATCAGTTGAAGGTCTAAAGAGTACTGTTGTGAATTGAACATTGCCCTATTCTATAAAGGACCGCTTGACAGAACTCTTTAGCATTTGTTGTCGTCTTCAAAATATAAAATCGTTCTCGTTGGATAATTTAATCAAAAGTTAGTTTTTTTCCTTCAGCTGAAGAGAATGAGAGGAATGAGAGAATCAGGATGAAGATAATAGTTTCCTGTTCTCCAACCATGATGATCACTTTTAGAAAACTGAAGGATTTTAAAACTGTAACTTGGATTACGGTTAAAGAGAAGTGAGATAGAAGACGACATTTTAAAATTTCTTAAGCTAAATTTTAATTTACCAACATGTGAATTCAGTGGCGAATTCGAAATCGTCTTTGTAAAGAATTAGCGTTGCGTTACCTAATTTCAAAGGTCAAAATAAAGTTACGTCTGTTGAAGTATATTCATGTAAACACCCCACAGGGGCGTACGAGGTAATTGTTTAGGGGGGCACAATTTGCGCGCGTGAGCTTGAAAAAAATATTTTGGGTCCCCCCCTTGGCAACATTGTGCCCCCCCTTAAAAACCCCCTTTTTGAAAATTTTTTTATACTTTTTAAAAAAATTTTCTTGCCCCCCCTGGAATTGTTTTGTTCACCATAAAAATACACCAAAAAGACTACATTTTGGGGTGTTACTACCCTTACAGAGTTTAAAAATTATTACTTTGCTTGAAAAACTAACTTTTTAACTTTATGAATTTATCACTTAACTCCATCACAGCTAACTAAATCAATAATCAAAGCATCATTAAAAATTATATTTACACTAATAAACGAAATTTCTTCTGAAATTTTTAGATATAATTTACTCAATCTACATATTCACCAACTCTCTTAAGCTTCAATTTTCTGTGATTTGCTTGCACAAACATTTCAATGATTTTCTCAGTAGAGAGCTCAGACAGCCTTATAGGGTGTAAAGCTATAAGTGCAAGATCGTTAAGTCTGCTCTCCGTCAATTAAGTACATCTTGTATAATGAAATATTCTCTTTAGAAGGCTAAAACTTTTCTCTCCTTGTTTTAACAGTGAATTTAGACAAATCCTTAGTCATTGTCATTGTCAGGTGTACTTTTTAAACGTTGTTTCCTTATAATTTTGTATTTTCCAGGGGGGGCAGGGGCGGCCCCGCTTGGAACTCCCAGGGGGGCCGAGAGGACTACTGCCCCCCCAGGTACTCCACTTTGCTTGGCCTCAGGAAGGGAAATGCAAGCAGATGTAATATTAAAAGAGCCTCTCCCATGTGTGCCCCCTCTCAGCCTCTCAGGGGGGGCACGCGTAGAGGGGGGCGGGCCCCCCCCCCTCGTACGCCACTGACACCACAAGACTGTTTTGTTATTCTGCAAACCATTGTATGATGTTCTTTAACATTTCTGTAAGATAAACAGTAAAGAGAAACAACTGTCCTGTTTGTATACACGAATTACTGTTATTATTAAGTACAAGAAAGTATGAAATAAAAACATGAACAAACAAATGCTGAACTCTAGCAGACCGATTATTGCTATCCTAGTAGGCATCGCAATACTAAATCAAAAAATTATATACAAAGACGATATCAAAATTGTCACTGAATTCCCATGTTTATTGGGACACCCCGCACAGATTTGAGACAAGTAGACATTTTATACAAGCAGACTTTAGACAAACGGACATTAAGACAAGCAAACTTTAGACAAACGGACATTGAGGCAAACAGACATTTGACAAGCGGACATTGAGACAAGCAGACATTGAGACATGCGGACATTAAGACTAAGCAGACATTGAGACAACGAGATTTGAGAGACATCCAGACAAGCATAACATACAACTTTAAAATGAAATAATTTTTTAGTGAAATTTTATTACTCGGTGTATTCCCAGAAGATGAAACTTTTGTGTTATAAATCTTGGAATCAAGTATTGATCTCCATTTTATGCTCATTTTAGGATTTATCGATATTCCGTGATGTTCATACGCTGCAGGAATAACTTTAATGAAGGAATTAAGCATTTATTCTCAAATCTAAAAATGCCCACATTGGATGTAGAGATCAAGAGTTCAAGATTAGCGATACTCAAAAGTTCCAAACTCAGTTCAAATATATGCACGCATAGTTTGTTGCGCTTTAACCATTTATTATTTTTATGTGCCACGTGTTTAACATTATTCACATTGTATGTTGGTTTCACGAGAGAGGGAGGGAAATGCCACCATGAGCCTATAAGAAATCTGTTCCGAACCCACTAGTTATGGAAATGGAAAATGATGGGTTTAGAATAATAATTAAGGCCGAGGGCCGGAGGGGCACAACATAAAGCAAGTTTAAAGTCCTGAACAAGATTTCTATCCAATTTATGATGAAATAACTTAAACATAGTTCTCGACAAATATATATTTTCTATTGCAAAAAATTGTCTTGTAAAAATTCAAATTAGCACACATAGTGAAGTTTTTATTTTATTGTGTACTTGCGGTAATGCGGTCTCTAAATGTAGAGAGTTTATGATGGAAATTAAGTATGTGCGAGGGGGGATGATATTTCTCTACCTGTGTGCTCACTTAGCTGTACTGTACACTTACAAGTTACAATCTAATATTAATATACTATAGGTTGGGCCAGAATCAACTTACATGGTGTCCCACATCAAATTAGACTGCGTCAATGGGTCTAAATTACAATTTGGGGGATAAATCAGATAATTTAAGAAGAATGAATCATTTCAAAAAACTCAATAAGGCTAATAAAAAAAATTTTTGGCAGAAAATGCTAGATTTTTTAAGTATTATGTGCGTATTTTGGCGTTAAAGATTGGAGATAATATAATATGATATGGGACGCTCTATACACTATAACCTCGTTGGTATGTACTATACCTAGATCAAGAAACACGTTGAAATTAAACTCGGAGATTTGACGAGACATAAAACTTCGCAACTATATAAATTCAAAATATTATGAATCAAAATGTTGTCATCTAGTTTGGAACACCAAGTATATATCCTAGATTTAGCTGCAAGTGCGTACACAGGATTTAAGCCAGGGTGGGGGGATGGCTAATTATTTTATAGTCACTAGTCAGTCTACTACATGTCCGCTATGTAGCCCATTGTAGTCTCGACTCAAGGACTATATAATATATTGTATCTCTTTATATAGTTCTGTATTACTTTCTAAAGTCCTGAGAAGTCTCCTGAGTCCTGAAGTAGTCCACCGCCCTCTTTACTCTCCCCCACCCCTCCTCTTTTAATGTAATCTCCCCCTGGTCTTCATTGAGGTTGCGGGAAGACATGCCAAACACTTGCATAATGCATATAGCTATTATTGTTTATCAAGTAGTGGGGGGGGGGG